CACGTGGCTTTCCTCTTCACAAAGACTTCGTATCAAACTTGAAACTCATCTTTGTGCCTTGAAATGTAAAAGTCAACTGCTGTTTTGAGGCATTGGAAAGTACAGTTTTGGGTTGGTGATTTCCTGGGTGTCTGCCTTGATTTTTGTGAGGGTTTTGCCTGTACTCTTGCACTACTTGGTTTACGGCTAGATGGTCTTATGTGGTAAAGATCTTCCAACATTGCCCTGTCAGCCATTGCAACTCTGGTCATTGGGATAGGAAAAAGTATAGTGGTTGGGAGGGGCCAATATAGATTTTAATATTAGTTTGTGTAATGCTTGCAATAACTAGAACATTTTTTTCTTGTTAGTCTTCTGATTTTTTTTAACTGATGGTTGAAGTTTTATCTGCAGTCTGACTTGCTATCACTGCTGAAATGTCTCGATCTCTTTAGGTTCTTGGTATTGTTGTGGGAGTTCTTCTGCAAGACCATGATGTTAGGCAGAGTGAGTTTCAGCAACTTCCTTACCATCGCATTTTCATCATGTTGCTGTTGGAATTAAATGCTCCTGAGCATGTGCTGGAGACCATCAACTTCCAGACACTCACAGCGTTCTGGTATGTTTTTGAGCTTGGCGACAGTGCTCATCCTTTCCTGGTAGGATTGAGAATTTTTTCATCTAAAGGTGATCTGACCGTTCCTCTGTGGTGGCTTAGTCACATATGGTTCTCCTGTAGACTGTCCACTCGCTTGTTTTAAGGAAGATGACTGGTAAAATCCAAGATGCTAAAATGCCTTGCTTTTAGGGCTGTGTATGTTTTCTCTCAATGTTATGAAAAGCAGTCTTATTGCTGTGCACTTTTAACCTGCTCTAACTTTTCTTTCAGTAACACATTTCACATCCTGAGGCCTACAAAAGCTCCAGGTTTTGTTTATGCCTGGCTGGAACTGATCTCCCATCGGATATTTATTGCAAGAATGCTGGCACATACACCACAGCAGAAGGTGTGGCTGCAGTTTATCTCTTCTGAATTAAAGCTCACACGGATGCTTATCTGGTGTGGTGCTGTTTCGCATCTCTCGAAGTGCACTAGTAGCATGGCTGTTCTGTTTTGTTGTCTTCCATATTCACAGTAACCTAACTGCATGGAGGAGAGTCTGTGTCAATAAACTATGGAATATAGGGTGAATTGAATTTAATAAACAAGCCTTTTCAAAGTCTGGAAGTGCTGTAGGCTAGACCAAATGCTCTCAGCTCAATATGGCAAGTTGAGTGTTCTGGAAACACCCATAGCATATGGTGTGCAGCTAAAGCCTTTGAAATGAGCTGTGCTGCACTTGCTGCTAGAGCAGGACAAAACTTTAATTAGACTGGTCTTCATATAGACCTGGATCAAAGTTTTGAACTTAAAATAACTGCTATTCATTGCATGTTTTCCATCTGCTGTTCTTTTCTTGACAGGGTTGGCCTATGTATGCCCAGTTACTGATCGATCTTTTCAAGTACTTGGCTCCTTTCCTTAGAAATGTGGAACTCACCAAACCTATGCAAATTCTTTACAAGGTAAAAAAATGTCAGCTAACAGATGCTACTTACACCAAGACTGTCTGAAAGTGGAGGTGTTCTGGTAGTGACATAGGATTTACTGTTCTTGGAATTTATTTCTTAGAGTTAAATGCAGTCGTGCAGGACAGAAACAGCTACCTCCCCAGATTAATTTATTCCTGTTAATGTTAACCATGTGACATAGAAGGATGGCCCTGCAAGCTCCTAGGCAGTTCCAACAGCTACACACCTCTTTTTAAATTGTATTTTATTTCACAGGGCACTCTGCGTGTGTTGCTGGTCTTGTTGCATGACTTCCCAGAATTTCTGTGTGACTACCACTATGGGTTCTGTGATGTGATCCCACCCAACTGTATTCAGCTAAGAAATCTGATCCTGAGTGCCTTCCCACGGAACATGAGGCTTCCAGACCCTTTCACCCCCAATCTAAAGGTAGGAGTTACTTTTATGAGTTTGATAATGGGAAGCTTTAATGCTCCAAATAATCTTTATCCAGATTTTGGCAGACACGGTGGAATTTTGGGAACGGTTTAACTGATACTTGAATTAATGCAACCATTCAAATTTAACAGGTAATTTGAAACTTAAGTGACAGTCAGCAGTTAAGAGAACAGCGTATTTTTTACTGCATGTAGGTTTCAGTTATGTTAGTGATGCTCACATCTGACAGTCTCCATACAGAGAGGGATGCAGGCCTTGTCCTGTAGAACACAGTGGTATGAAACTTGTTGCAGCCAGGAGCATCATGCTTGCCTCTAGTCTGCAGTACTTACCTTGCCTCTGAGGTTTGTGCAGGTTCCACCTGAAAGGACAGGCCCTTGAGACTTGGGTTACATGAGAGCTGCATTGAGAACCTGGCTTTTGCATGGAAACCTCAGGACTTCTCTGTTTCTGAGGGAAGACTGACTTGATGGCACCTCTAGATCTGACTGGCACACGGTATTGGAGCAGAGACAACTTTATCATTCCACTGTCACTGAAGAACAGACTGCCTAAGCAGTCTTTGTGGCTTTGCTGTTTGAAAGCTCATCCAGCAGATCTTGTCTGTTTTGCTCAGCTCATGCTGAATTGTACAGCTTTGGATGTGTGGAGGCTGGAGTTCAGTTAACCAGTCACTGAAGAGCCCTATGTAGTTGTAAATACTTTTTGATGAGAAATATGCATGCCATCCTATCTTAATGAGACAAACCACCATTCTGAAGCAAGCCTCTTGCATAATGAGGTGAAACTTTGAGAATTAATGTTGTCTAATTAAATATTTGGGTGTGTGCCAGCCTTCTCATGGTGCAATTATTAGGAGCAAACTTTCTCACACTGCTAAAGCATTGTCCTGTTATTACTCTTCCTTGCCTAAGCTCTGCAGGGTGATGGGAGTGAAGCTGCGATACTCATTCAGTTAGCACTTCTTGAGGTTGAAGGAGGCTGCTCTTGACTTACGTGGATGTTTGTACTTTTCTAAGCTACCGAGCTGTCTTGAGTGTAGACAGGGAGACTTCAAAGGTGGTGACTGAATTCCCCTATGGCCTTCTCCCTTGAATTCTTTTATCCTCTACTCTCAATTCTTTGAGACAGGAGTCATCTAAGAAGCTTGCACATTAAAGACCAAGTTTTTTTTCTGAAATCTGCAAAAAAAATCCAGTGTTTACTTTTCATTCCCGGTAAGGAAAAAGGGATCAGCAGCAGCAGTTGCTGTAATAGCACTTACAGATCTGCTGTTGCAGCTCCTTTAGCGATTGCGTCTGGTTTAGCTGACTGATTTCTCTCAACAGGTGGACATGTTAAGTGAGATTAATATTGCTCCACGAATACTCACGAATTTCACTGGAGTGATGCCACCTCAGTTCAAGAAAGACTTGGATTCCTATCTCAAAACCCGTTCTCCGGTCACGTTTTTGTCTGACTTGCGCAGCAACCTACAAGTGAGTGGTTGGTTTCTGAGGATGCCGAATTTGAATAGTGTCAGACAAATGATCTCATCACCCTCCTTTCTTGCAGGAATTTTGTTGGTGTGTAGCAAGCATGTGTTCCAGGCAGTAGAAAATCCTCTGAAAATGCACACCTCTCTAAATATCTCCTCTGCCACTCCCCAGGATGTTTAAGTCTGTGTGTGAAGTAGTTCCAGCCAGGCAGAATTTAAGGAAAGAGGAATGTTGACTTTAACCCTAAAATGATCTAACTTAATAGCAGTTGGCTTTATCTACATGAGCTGACAAATGCTCATGAAATGAAAATGTGAGGCTGCTGACTCTTCTGCTTGCGTGCCTCTGGTGCACAGCCCTGCAAATCTTGAGTGACGGATGTAGTCAGAGCTGATTGAATCAAGCTTGCTTTGTTTTTGTCCTCAACCACTGGGGCTTCCATCACGCTACTCCAGACCTGTTTATCTGGGCCTTGCCTGAAATTCAAGAGGTTTTATTGAACTTGATTGTGTTTAAGAATCCTGATTAAATTTTCACTCCAAATGAATTAATTGTTAGAAATGTATGGATCTGCACGTTAATGCTTTAGGGGTAAAAAAAGGCAAATTAGCTAAAGCCCAGTTCAGAATTGCTGGCCAAAAACACTTAATACATCACGTGGCTTGGCTTGCAGCAGACTTTGGGACTGAAATTGTACTTTCTCAAAAAATTGCTCAGATCGAAGCAGTCACACTGGTGTGCATGTCAGCCAGCACTGGCACTGCTGGTGAGTTCAGATTGCCTTTACCTGTTCTGTTGTTCTTTTCTTTTAGGGTAGGGAGTAGAAAAATCCTGTTGGGTCTGTCAACATTTTGCCGATGCTTTTGAACTTATATAAAAATATGACTGCTATATTACAAAGGCTAAATGCTAAATTGAACTTGTGGATGTCCGAGTGTGTTGTCTTCTGTATAGTCAGGAAGACAGTGGGATGCTGTTGTTGTACATGCTGTACTTCCAGTTGCTGAAGGAATATAGAATGTTAATGCTTTTTGTATCTCTGCTATTAGGTATCAAATGAACCTGGCAACCGCTACAACATCCAGCTGATTAATGCACTGGTGCTCTACGTAGGTACTCAAGCTATTGCGCACATTCACAACAAAGGCAGCACCCCCTCCATGAGCACCATTACCCACTCGGCTCACATGGACATCTTCCAGAATTTGGCAGTAGACCTGGACACTGAAGGTGAGCTGGAAACACTCCTAGGTCATGCCATGTCAAATTTAAGAGCAGATTCTGTTTGAGCTGTGAGAAATACAGATGGTCACTTCATGTCGCTGCTAGTGAATTCACAGTGAGTAATGCTACATCAGAATATTAAAGCCTGAATGCAGGAGCAATATTAAAACCAAATGTCAAGGTATTCAAGGGAATGAGAAATAAGTTTAATGAAGACAAATTGAATTCTTACTGCCCTATCAGCTTGGGTTGATACGGCTTTTTCATGTATTCAGTTACTTTTTTTTCTTAAACCTTCATCAGGCAGGCTCACAAACGTTAAGCAATACTGGTCACTTCTTTATTCCTCTCTTGTGTGTGTTTAAGGGACAGCGTATGTACTCACTGCTCTCTTCTGCAGGCCGGTACCTCTTCTTGAACGCAATTGCCAATCAGCTGCGATACCCCAACAGTCACACTCACTACTTCAGCTGCACCATGCTGTACCTGTTTGCAGAGGCCAACACTGAGGCTATCCAGGAGCAGATCACTAGGTGAGAGGGAAGGCGTTTAACTTGCCAGCACTTAGCTTTCCTTCCTTGCAAATCTTCTATCTTTGAGCTCTGACTGTTTTTACTTCTGGATTTCAGGGTTCTCTTGGAACGACTGATTGTAAATAGGCCTCATCCCTGGGGTCTCCTTATTACTTTCATTGAGCTGATAAAAAATCCAGCGTTTAAGTTCTGGAACCATGAATTTGTTCACTGTGCTCCAGAAATTGAGAAGTGAGTATAACTTAGCCATAAAATCACTAAAACGATGTATTTGAAGCAAGGGCTGAGTTGCACTTCTGAGTTCTTGGTGCTTTGTAGAGGAAGCCCCATTTGCTGCCATAAATGTACCTAACGCTGCCTCGCTTCTGTGTTCAGGTTGTTCCAGTCAGTTGCACAGTGCTGCATGGGGCAGAAGCAGGCCCAGCAAGTGATGGAAGGGACTGGTGCCAGTTAGATGAGCTGCATCTTGTGTTGTACGCGTGCCAGCCTGGAGGTCCCCATCCTATCGACCAACAGAAGACTCCGTAAGGCTCCTCCTGACCTTCCCAGCCCCCTTGATTGGGTAGACGCAACAGACCCTGGGTGAAAGTCTCTGTGGGCACGTTCCAAAGTTTGAAACAAGTTTTTGACTTTTGGCCAAAATTCAGAAGATGCTGTGAATATCATTTTGAACTAGTGTAAATACAAGGAACAGAAACGTTTGTCTGGACTTTTGGGTTTGTGCAAATTGTGTAAAAGGCAGGTGGGTAACTGCTGCCTGTCCAGCTTGTAATAAAGGGGCAGCTACTGATGCCAAGCACTTGTCTGGGGCAGACCTCCTTGTCCTGACATTCCCAGACTCCCAAAGAATATTGAAAAGCCAGTTATAATATTATGTAACTTATTTTTCTTTATGTGGATGGGGGACCTTTAAATCACTAAGTTGTTTTACAGAGGAAAAAAAAAATGGTGGATGGTTTTGGAATATGGGAATACTATGGAGTATGGGAGGGGTGAGGGAGGGTTAAGGTTCAGTGTTGCTTTCCTCCCCACCCTCATCAAATGCTGACAGACAGCAAGTGGAGTGGCAGTCAGAAAATGCCTCTTTTCTGTTGGAGAAGACACCTCAGGCCTTTGGGGAGAGGGTCGGCTGTTTTTAGTAAAGAAACCAGAGACCAGGCCTATAGCTTTTTCTTTTTCTTTTTTTTCTGTCTTTTTTTTGACACTTGTAAATTTTGGAAGGTGGGGGGTTAAATCTAGACCTTTTCCCACTCCCCTGCCCTGTGACCACACAGTATAAGTTTGTAAAAAAAAAAAAAAATAACCCACAAAAAAAAAAACAAAGAAAAAAAAAAAGGAAAAAACCCAAACAGAAACTCAAAGGACCAATACAGCCCATTTTGTAAGGATTTTGAATGTTTTGTAAAGTATTGGTCCATGTGTTGTATTTTGTAGCCTTTCTAGTTCTTGGGCTTTAGTTCTCCCACTTGTATGTATGCATACTGTAGTTACACATTAAAGTCATGACATGCAGCACGTGCCACTGTGCTTATTCTCTCCAGCTCCATCTTGCCTGGCCAGTTGACGTCTTTCAAGCTCTGTTTCACCCACCCAAAACCTGCCATCTTCCGGTGTGTTTTGCTGCACTGCCTTTTGAAAGCAACCGGGTTTGGTTTTTCAGAGTGAGGTCAGAGGGGAGAACTGTTGGGACTAGAAGGGGCCTTGCTCTGGAGTGCAAAAGGAGAGGAGAGTTGCATGGGGATAGAAGCATCTTAGTTGGAAGTTCATGAGCAGTTTGTCTCTGACAAAGGAGTGTGAAGGAGCCTGCAGTGGAGAGAGCATAGCCAGCAGACTGGCTTTGTTTCTAATGACTTGCACCCCACTGATACTCCCTTCAGTGAGGATGTGTGCAAGGCTGCTCGTTGGCTGTCATCAGGAGAGGTGGCTTAGTGCAAACTGCACTGCAAACTCCTGTAGCCTGTGCCCTGAAACCCAGCAGAGAGCAGGAGAAAAAGAGCTTCACCGCTTTCTTTTTAGATAACATCACTAGTTTGCTAAAGCTGGTTGGCTGCTGTTGTTTGCATAGA